GGTTCACACATGAGCATATTGCACAATTACAGAATCGTCGAGGAACTTTACATCACAAATTGGAACACTATAGCAGACATATAACACAGGCAGTAAATAAATTAGAGCAAATAGTTAAATTAATGGCGAGCTAGGAAAGATGGACTAAATCGACCCATGAAAGTAGAAAGTAGTCTGTGGAGGTACAAACATGTTTGTGATAAATAGATATACGACAAAGGGGCGGAACACGCTGCTGGTCCTTGGTTATTCACACTTACACGGAGACTGGAAGAAATAGCATATAGTTATGATTTCTACTACCATAACATTAAAAACACGGGGTAAAAAACTCTGAGAATTACAATTTTAAAACAATTATGCTCTTGAAAATTTCCATTTAATAAATTCAAATCTGTCCTTTATTGAAATCCGATTTTCATCAATTTATGCTCATACATGTGGAGTGCTTGTCGTCTTTGTTTGAACGTTAGATTTCAGAGTCGCTTAATGGCTTTAAATAAAAAAAATGCATTTTGCGAATCAAACTCAAGATTTTACACAAATAGACTTTTTTCGGTTGGATGGTGTCGTCTTACATGCACCATCTATCCATTGGTAAACAGAAGATGATGAGGCAATCACGAAGAGTCTGTTATTGCCCTGGTAACCAGAGACCATTATTTCTCCATCGTCATTCACGGTGTCAGCGTGAAGAGATTTAATTCATTCGAATGATGCATCGTAGTGAGCAAACATGACTTGGGTTGCCTCTTTTCGTCATAATTGGTGGAAGTGAGTGCATGTAATTTGAGTTCCGTTCTAAAAGTTGTTGAAGTTTGATTGATTAGCCGAAATCTGCCGCAACAATATAAGCTCATTTATAATAGTATATTGATACGGTGACGCAAAATGGTCTGCGTATAGTTAGCTGCGAACAAACACGTCGAGATTGGAAACGCCAGAGAAATCAGCCACTATGTGCGCTGCGTGTAAGTTTCGTGTAATTGAAATGTGACGGAGAAGGCGGATGCGACTTGGCGAGCAAGTGGACTTATGATGATACTGTCGAATTCAGTCTGCTCACGACTTACTTCTAATTTGTTGTTCATTTCAATGGAGAAGAGGAAGAGTGTTAAATCAAGGAAAAGATAACCCGGAGTAAATGGATGGAACGTCGAACTGAAGTACTCTCCAACTAATCATCATTTATTTAAAAGAATTACTATTTAACGTCCCTAGTGTGACGTGTTCGTAAGCTCCATTCACTGTTGGCAGCATTAACGCTGTATTCAGTTACTCAAATTTAATGTCACCTCGGCGCTAGTGCAATAACATCTCTCTTCTTTTTGTGGCGGATTCTTAACGCGATGTATTTGATTGAGAAACAAGATAGCGTAATAGACATTGGCAAGATTGGATAGTTACAATAAAAATGATTTCCGAGTCAGATAACTCGCATTGGATTATTTTTTATTGGCCTGGAAATGGAATTAGCAGGAAAAACATTAAATTCAGGGAGGGCGTTTATTTTAGCATGAGTTATTATCGCATTTCCGATCCTGTTTTCTGGGAGAATTACTGGAGTAAATAAATGACGACCATCCGACTAATGTATTTCCCGTCGGCAATGTTATTTGTCATTCTTTATCGTGTAGGGCATACTCCCAGAACTCACGTGTTTACAAGGAACAGTTCATTTGGTCATTTGTGATCTTGGAAAAAAACGCAAAATGAAAGCTGCACATGATATGTGCAATTGCAATATCATGGGACCTTTAAGAACAGTGGTCACACTTTGTCAATTTTAATTAGTGCTCTTAATTATACATTAAAGTAATAATTAGTTTGAACGGGACAATATACTCTATTTACGATATTGGATTTTTATTGATTCGTATTGGTCACCAAATAAAATGAATCTAATGTGCGCAGTTGTATGGCTCTATATACAGGATGTAGACGTCGGATGCAAGAAAATTTCAAAACGCTGAATTTCACCTTTCCACTACTGTTAAATTAATAACATTAAGAATTTATGAAAAAGCTGACAGGTATGGGTAGCTCGTTATCGAGGTATTACAGCTTCTTCGGCATGTAATTATATCAAGTGGTGCCTCAGTCGTTCAGTAAATCGTGTTTCACGCTTGGACGGAGACGCATCTAAATGAATTTCTACGAAAAAAAAAAACTGAACGCTGCTGTATCAGCAAACACGTTTGGGCATGGTTCATTGTTTTTAGACTTACTGATACGGAAATTTAGGAGTTATTATTCTAAGTGGGTCGGAAAACGTAATTTCACCGGACGTGGTCACGACGCAGTAAGCACAGGAACAAAACCCCGAAGGAGTGATCGGCACCAGGGCGGGAAGACAGTTTTGTTCCCGTTGAAAGAAGTTTAGTTGACATTATCTCTGATGTCAGATCAATTGCTTTGGACAATAGGGATGCGCTAACTGGGTCTTCCCTAGTGACAGGAGAAATTCAAACTCGCCGGAGGAATTGTCTTGTTAGGAATCATTCTGTCGCCGCCATAGTTCCCAAAATGTATCCTGGAGCTAAAATTAATTCAGTAGTCGATCCGACAAAGAAAAAAGTGGATGTTTTGTCATAGTGCGAATTAATAGTAGGTTTTCGAATGAAACAAAGCGTGAATATTGCAGCAATAGAACATGTTTTATCTATTCAACGCCGGATGTAGTACTAGTTGGTACACACGTGTATATATCATATTTATGTACAATCCACGTCTGTTTAGACAATTATGAAGTGAATTATAATTAAATAATAATAATGCAAATGATTATTGTTTTCTAAAAGTGTTGCTATCAAGACAAGACTGGTAATAGTCGGTTTTTCTTTGACTGGGATCGACAATCGAACGGGTGCCCTCTTGATGTAATCAACACCCTACATAAAATGAACTCGGTAAATACGTTAGTGATACGATTACAGAGACCTCCCACTTGGATGCATTTCATTCAGCACTGGGTCTTATAGACGATATCTAAACAAAACGCATTCAATTAACTTTGTGCACCAGAGATGGCACTCAGAATTTAGCCGCCGGCGTCTGCGTAATCCTTCTCAGCGGTCTGTTCAAGTTATCACCACGATGCTATGCCTGTCTAATCGAGAGGGCGCGCTTGTTCACTGATCAGTTTTGAAACACGGTGATACCACCCACTCGAAGGCCGATGATAGAATAACATATATGGCGTCTATGTGTTGCTTCAGCCATCGTGTACAAGTCAATAAGCAAAATACTGAAACACGCGAAATTTGTTGAACGGAAACGTACATACAAAACATATCGACAAAAACGAAGTCGAAATCACCTCGTGGTTACCGAGGCACGGAAAGATTCGTAAATAAGCACCCAACTCGGAAATAAGAACCCAACTCGGAACACTATTAATTGAGATGCGGCTGACAGCGTAATTATACGTGACAAAACTCAATACAATGTACGTGACTGAAAAGAGGAGAGTCGGCGTAGCGAAACGCACACAAGTTTAAAATATATCTTTATTAATTATCTCGCTACATCAACAGTTTTTTTTGTTCGCATTAACAATATCATTCCCAGCTTGAGTTGACAGATCTGTCAGTCCGTCCCGAAACCATCTACTAATTATCGAAATTGAAAATTTTAAACTTCCACACAAAAAAGCGTTTTAATTATAAAGGAGTAATAATATTTAATCAGGTAATTGATTAAATAATTTGTAGATGATCGACTTGTGTGAATAGTTTGTTTCGTTTTTATGGCACTATGCCGGGTCGGGTTATTCGTTCGGTGCACAGTGTATTTAAAAATGTATGGTATCACGGCAACACGAATAAATTTGCAAGATATAGGGCGGGGTTGGTGAATACATTGGTAACTGTTAGATCATTAAATGAAAAGAAACTTAATACACCGCCACCCCAACCCTATTCTCAGTGGTACCATTCATTATCTATCGGGATCTTAAAACCCCTTCCTCCCACAACTATCGTCACGGCACTATTACGGCGCTCCTTTACGGGGAACTTAATACTCCGTTACCATAGTATATATTTTATAGTGTGTAATTCTACCGAAAAATTAATATCCGCCCAACCACCACGACTTCTAACACCACCCCGCCCCTTCTAACACTTTAACCGGGGTCACAATATCCCTCTCATCACCACAATTATAATTATAATTGTCACCGGGGAACTTAACATCCTCCTACCACCACTACTATACAATTACATTATTTTAGTGCGTCCACCACTGAATTTAATACCCCGCCACCATCCCTGTCGATACGACGATACGAATCGGTATCTGTTGGGATCTATAGATCTGTCTTCTACTGGGAACATGATATCACACCACCGCGGCCATCACTGTATTGTGCCTTCTATCAGGACCTGTTGAACAACACGGCTACAACACGAAACACTTACTAACTTAGAAGCTTGTGGGTTGTAACAATAATAGGCATAACAAACAATGGCGGACGCAATGGAATATTGATGATGTTGATTTCAATTAATCACAAAAGCGAGGATGTGGGAAGGTGTAATTATCTGAAGTAGCGGAGGTTATTCAGGCAATTCAGAAAAGGTAGTCATTATCGCATGCCCGACCAGCTTTCTAAGGCCTGCATGGGTTAGGGCATGGTTGGTAGAATCTCATTGGTGGAGGTGGATCATCATAGAATGTGCGAAAAAAATGTCTAGATATCCAATTTTAAAATTATAACACATAACTTTACTTTATATCTGATCTGATATTGTGAATACAGAAACATGCGACTTGCTTCGGAGAAAACTGTGTTTTAGCCAGCTTTGTTGGCGTGGATTAAATTTTATAGATGGTGGTTCCAGAACTCTGGTTAAGCATATACTAATTATTAATAATTAAAATATGAAATATCCAAAGTGACAGTTAGCCACCATGAGACAAAACTATTTACATGGTCTGTTTAGTTTAATTTTTTAAATTTAAAATGGGTCTTTAGAATAGTGACTCAACCGTGTATGTTATTTCGCGATTTCTTCGGTCTTTGGTTGATAAATTGTCTTGTAGATTACTCCTTGTGCATAGACCGGAATCAGATGAACATTTTCGTCAAAGTCCTTAGCTCGTTGCCTCAAATTAGCTATGCTTATGTTCCTCCTTTCTTCCATGGACCCTTCAAACACTTTACCATCGGACGGGCAGAGCGGTGTACTCGTCATCATCGGCGGTAGGCTCGGCGGTACCACGTTAAGAAAAGGTGCTGAGCTTACAACAACTCTCTTCAGTTGCGATCTACCTGTCCCGTTTCCAGGGTTAGTCGCCTGCTCACCGATGGCTTCACGATGATTAATATTCGTCGCCAAAGATGATGATGACGACGAAGCTGTTGCTTTTTGTTGCTTGTTATATTTTTCTCGCTTCCTCCATTTAGCTCGTCTATTTTGAAACCAGACCTAAAATTATAATAAGTGAAAATACAAAATTAAATACAAATATCGCACCAGTCTTCGTTTCAAACCCTACGTGAAATATTTGCCAAGGGTTTGGCTACTAATATACTTAGCGATGTGGCGTTAATTTTTTATTCTTGTAGATCACTTGATGCTATGAAATGTACGATATAACTTATATCAAACTTAAAAATCCTAGCGCCATCAACTGTAGCTTTTTTTAAATTTATACCGACTGGTTTAGAAAAAATGAAAAGTAAAAGAAATCGAAGAAATTTGAACTGAATTATGGGTAATTATAGTAGAATACGCGCCCGGGCCGGTCGTCAGAACCGTTCACGCCAACTATGCGTTTAATGCAGTGAGCAAAATAAAGAACGAAGACTGTCTTCGCAATTGACACGTACAGCCCTGATGACACTATTAACATCTATAGTCTGCATTGGTTACATAGCTGGAGAGACGACCAAACAATTAATACCACGTGACTCGAAAATCGTCGTGATCATCACGAATACAAACACAATTTAATACACGCGCCAAATTAATTATTTATCCCATATTAGCTGTCCTTTACAAGATCCGCCGGTTCGGATGACCAGTAATAAAATTATGATTTGCCACACTTATGAAATTAATGGTTCTTAAACGGGGGATGCCGCTATCGATGGCAGGTGTTCAACTAGATTTGTGTTGACTTTAAATTTAAAAGTGTTTTCCAGCATCGAATTGGGTAAACAATTCGTCGCAACAGAAGAGCGTTAACAATTACTTGGCATCAGTTTAAAATAAAGGTATTGGTTTTCATGGCGGCGTGACCACCCATATTATTGAGAGTTAAAATGAGACTTTTGTCCACCGGGAGAGAATCGTGAGTTCTCTTTGTACGTGTGACGTTTCCTTGCTGTGGTTTTATAGAATTGGGCTAATTATTGCCATTAATACTTTCAATTTGTGTTGCAGCACTCTCACAAATATCAACAGTATGTGTTGTTTCTTGCAACGACCATACCAAATTCGGCACAACCTTGGACGAAAATGTCACATTAAATGACATGAAGGTAATCGGGGGAATTATTTAACGATTTGTTTTTATTTTTCTCTATATATAACAGCGCAACGATATGAATGCTGGCGGCGCCTTTCATAGCACACTCCGCGCATAATATAAATTATTCTTGTGAGTATATGGAGGGGCAGCATGGTTAGTTTATACGACATTTTCACATCAAATGAACTAACAATGTCAGGTTTCTGACGCTAAACAGGGAAAGAAAGAAATTTTAAGTTCAATTCGAGAATGTTAATTAAAACTTAAAAAAATCATACGTTTGTATGCAACAATTATTTTCATCTTTACCCAAAGTGAATGTCATGTGACGGGTCTGATTATGTGTGTACTGCGATACTGCTGTTGAAGACAGTGATTTGAAACATAAATACAATTCACATCACCGTGAATTTGTATTCAAGCTTCGATGGCACGACGTGTAAGTAGAACAACAGCGCCATCGTACTCGTTCGTCTGCTGATCCATCATGAGACGCGATGTGACAACGTAGGAAACGCATCGTCGGTCCCAATTAACTTATGTATGCACTGTTATGTTATATTTTAAGCATTGCCCAAATGTTTACAGAACATCTCCGACATAGTTAAATTAATAAAGCGTTCTTGTAAGATTTTAAATTGGAACTTTATGGGCAGCAAGTTTATTGTTTATCTGATTTATAATTATTTTTATGTACGATTTTTCATTCAAAAAATCATGAAATGGAAACAAAAAATGAGGATACGTTAACAAGTTCAAGTTACAGTGTTAATACATCATTCCATCATTATCAGTTAATTCCTTAACGATCAAAACACTTGTTTCATCTATTGATAATGAATTCGTAAAAACGCTCCACGAGTGGCGACACCGATTATAAGCAGACAAGTTTCCCTGAATGCGGTCTTCCTAATGATAATTGTATTTTATTGCTCATTTCTATAGTTTGCCGTCGAAATTAACGATACGTATATACTTTGAAATTCTACACGCCCATCCGTTGTTAGGCTGTATTTGTGCACCTGCTTTGTTGCATGTCCCTCGTGGTGTTGTCGCTTAGCGACGGGTTTGCTCAGGAGCGGCCATCTTTCCAAGATCTATTGTGTTCACAAAATTCAAACACGGCCGTGTCTTTCAGTAGCTAGATTTGGCTTCGTGTGAGTGGCACTCAAAATACCTGACTTGACCGTAATTGCCATTTGGGACATTTTGTGGGGAAAACGGAGTATTTGATCACCTGAGTCGAAAGGTATAATTATAGACGCAAAACGAGTTACTCCACTCACTTCACACCCTTTGACAACTTCAATATTGATTTGGAAAGTGGTCCGTGTATAAACTAAGTTATTGCTTGTAATATATTCATGAGTCAATTGAGAAACAGAACTCATTGACAGTGTTACCTATATCGAGCTTTCAAACGGCACTAACTAAAACGTAGAAATCGTTATAATCACACCAGTTCAGTGATTTCTGTGTATCACCAGAAATACATACACATATATTAGTGACCATGCATTCT